CATATGGAGGGCCACAGAGGGTCATTTGGAGGGTCACATGGAGGGTCCCTGGAGGGTCACACGGAGGGTCACTGGAGGGTCACTGGAGAGTCACTTGGAGGGTCACTGGAGGGGCACTTGGAGTGTCACAGGAATAACCACCAGGAGGCCCTGGGCCAAGCTGGGATTGGAGCCTGGGCTGACCTGAGTCCACCCCCTGCCCCCGCCACGGGGAGGACTTTTACCCCCTGAGGGCCCTGGTCACATGTGCTGCTTTCAGGGGAGCCGGCCCCCAGCTGGGTAGGGGATCCCTCCTCCTCCATTGTCTGGCTCACAGGGTCTGGCCCCCTTCCTGTTCTGCTCTGTGTTTGCACAGGGACCACAGCCTGTCCCTCCTTGCCATGACCGGTGGTTAATCAGCAGCCCGGCCACCATGGGAGGGCCCTGGTGGGTGGATAAAAGCCCCACCAGGCACCGGAGGGCAGTGTCCCTCCTCCCCTGCGTCCACCCTGTGAGAGGAGTGTCAGGATCAAGGCCCAGACCATGTCCCAGCTGGTGGAATGCGTTCCCAACTTCTCAGAGGGGAACAACCAGGAGGTGAGGTGCAGGGGGCTAGGCAAGGGGCTCGGGGCAAGGAGAAAGGGGTGTGCTTGGTGTGGGGTTGGGGAGTATCTTCTCTGAAATGGAACCACTTCCTGTCGTCAGCCCACAGGGAGGTGCCGCATGAGCGCAGGGACTCAGAGTGGCTGAGCAGGGGTGAGGAAGAGGCTGTGGGCTGGGCAGTCAGGCAGGGGTCCTGGCCCTGGAGCTGGGCCATAGGGCTGTTGGAAGGTCCCCAAACCTTGTCAGTGGGCTCCCCATGTTACCTATGAGGACACTGAGGCATAGGGTGTGGGTGCAGGCCACTGAGGGCCACGGAGCCCCTGCTGCCTCAGAAGGTTCTGGGACCCTCATGCCCCGCCCCTAGTGCAGATGCTCCCACTAGGGACTGCTTGGGGGGCTAGGGCCCTGACCCTCTGTGACATTGGCCTCTAGGTCACCTTCTTGGAGCCGCAGCAGTCCCTCCACCAGGGTTTTGATTCCTGCCTCAGTTTCTCCTGGAGGGTGCCACCTGTTTCCCTTTTCTTGGTGACCACGGCCCAGTGATGGGCCTCCCTGGGCTTGCGCTCTTTGGGGAATTCCCAAATGCTCAATACCAGCTCCTTAGGCCCGTGTTTGGGTGGTGGTTGGGGGCGGCAGGAGAGGCATGGCCACCTCTGAAGCTCCTGTTCCTTCTTCTAAGTGGGGAAACTGAGGCACAGGGTCGGGCTTTCGTCCCCAGGTGATTGACGCCATCTCTCGCGCCGTGGCGCAGACCCCAGGCTGTGTGCTGCTGGATGTGGATGCTGGCCCCTCCACCAACCGCACTGTCTACACGTTCGTAGGGCAGCCCAAGGACGTGGTGGAGGGGGCCCTCAATGCCGCCCGGGTTGCCTTCCAGCTCATTGATATGAGGCAGCACAAAGGTGAGGGGTCCCCCACAGGGTGTGGGGGCTGCCTGGACTGCAAGCTTGCCCTGGGAGGACCCCAGAGCCCCCTGAAGGGTCTCGGGCGCAGCCCGCAGAGGCTGCTGTGCCAGGCTAAGGTCCGTGGAGACCCCCTCTGTGTTTCAGGGGTTCCCAGGAGTGACTGGCAGTGAGGCTCAGGCATCCTGTGCAGGCCTACGGGGTTTGGGGGGGCAGGGAAAAAAGACGCAGAAACCGGCCGGGCAACAGCCCTCAAAACCAAACACATCTGCTGTGGCAGGCAGGGTCAAAGGTTGGTGGACACGCCGGGGACAGGTCAAAAGGGCAGGGGCTCTGGCTACTCACAGCGGGGGGGTCAGGCCCATGTGATTCCAGCTGGTAGAGAGTTAGCAAGCCAATCTCAAAGCCAGAGCTCCCAGGGGGAGTGGAGTGGTCAGGGTTTGAGAAGGACGCTCGGTAAGCTGCGGGGGCAGGGAGGGTTGGGTAGTGGGAGCTGGTCAGGACTCCGGCCGCTCAGCTCGGCAGGCAGTGCTGGGCAGTGCGCTCTGTGGCTTAGGAGACGGAGGGGCTTACCGAGGCCAAAATACTTGGCTGGCTGCTTCTCCCGGGATCCCTGTGGTCAGTGGGACCAGCGGCGTGTGTGGATGGAGGGCAGGGTGGGGGCAGGGAGGGCGGGGTCCACGAGCCCGCTGAGCCCACGCCCACGCCTGGGCCCCCCTGGCCTCCCCTTCGTCAGCCGCCTCTCTGTGTAGGGGAGCACCCTCGGATGGGCGCCCTGGACGTGTGCCCCTTCATCCCTGTGAGGGGCGTCAGCATGGATGAGTGTGTGCTCTGTGCCCAGGCCTTCGGTCAGCGGCTGGCCGAGGGGCTGGGTGTGCCAGGTGAGTGCCCCGAAAGGGACACCCCAGGGCAGGGGCTCCCCCTCACTGCACTGCCGCGCCCTCAGTTTCTCTGCAGATAGAAGCCGGGTGCGGTGTGCGCTGTGCCTGGCCGGCCGTTTGGGAGCCGGTGGACGCCGCTTAGCTGCTCCACAAAGTCAAGTCCGTGCTTCCTAATGGAATAGTT